GTCCCACCAGTGGAAATGTAGTCCCTAACACGTGTCTTAAACTTTGTCACGTACTCCACAGGGCATCCTCCTTCATACTTGAGGGCGATAAGAGTTCCCCAAACGGCCTCCTGTTGGACTTCACCAACCTAACGATAGGTTCGTTCGAACAACCTCATCATCTCTGTGCCTCGTTTCATCCCTACGACTAAACTTCCTGTCTCCTCCGTTGTAGTTTGCTGGATGACAGCAGCAAGTCTCACTTCGTCTAGTGACGTTAACTTCATCCCTGCTTCGTATCCAATACACTCTAGCTGTAGTAACACAGCCTCTCGGTACATGGACCAATTTTTGATTCCTCTCAGAAAGGCTGACTGAGGTGCTTTCCAATTGAAAAGGTTCCACTCGAGCAAGGTTTTGCTCCCGTTCTTTGGAGCCGTTCTAGCGGGCCTGTCCCATCCTGCCCCTAAATCTTCGTCGTCATTTGGTGCATCTCTGCAATCACCATCTCTTTCCGACCTCCTTGAAGATATAGATTCTTCTGAGTGCTTCTTGCACCATTTGTCATCATCCCGATCCTTTTGTTCGAAGGATCTTTTGTCTGAATCTTTTCCTCTTGATCCAGACCTCAGATTTTCACTCGTGCTTCCGCTCGATATGAAGTCGAACTCATTGCTGAAGTTACCCGGCACTCGACCTGAACGACCAGCAATATTTTTCCCCAACTGCTTCTTTTCCACAGCAGTCTGATTCAAATCGGTGCCCTGGGCAGCAATTTCCCGATCCGCCTTCAATAATTCGAAGGACGACATTTACACAGATATCAAATTCTCTTCTAAACAATTGTCACAAACAATTCTTCTATGATATACCAAAGCTGCTGATGAAACTTCAATCGTCGAATTTTTGCTGAACAACCAAGATTAATGCTACCATGTAAAACTTAAAGGGGCTTCGTGTAAATGTCACGTGAATTGTCAAGAATGTAAGAGTGAAAGTATGTAATTAATTTACTACTACGAGTCGTGCCTAGGACTATATTGTGTGAGTATTCCCTTGTGCGCTCCCTTGAGTATTGCCAGTAGCCAAACATCTGTGCGCGTAGATCTTACTTTCGCTTTTGGACTGGCGCAAAACCCAGACAAGCATAGGTCTGCTTACACCTAGGAGTTAAAAATGGTAAGGCGACTGTTGATTTTACATACCCTGTATTAGTAGTTTTATATTAGCGTGTTGATGAGACTAGGAGCGATACATCAGTGGGTGCGGGGTCGCGATACTTCTATTAAGTGCGTAGACGTAGAGACGAAGATACACGCAATGATTCAACCCCATACTTTATCAAATCTACTTCCAAGTATTCCTGTAACAGTACTACTGTATTACCCGTCCAGAGGAATCATATTCTAATAATATATAAAATTCATTTTACCTGGTCTGGCGCCTTAAGGTCCATGCAGGTTTTTATCAGAAGATATGTACTTTGAGTAGGATTACTCAACTTGACATATAGAACACTCACACTCAGATTTCATTTGCAGATACCACTCGAGGTTAACTCTTACGGCGTATAACCTCTTCCGTGCATAACCACCACAGGGAAAGGCGTGAAAAACCTGTGGCTATCCGAGTGTGCTTTCATCAACCCACAAGAACAATATCACCGCAAGAAAGAGTGGTGTGTGGGTATTACTGGATTCGAACCAGCTTTCTCCTTTCTCGAATGGGGTAGGTGTTCAAGCTACCCAGTATCTACTTGGGAGAACGGCCCGAATGGTGTACCACTGCACCATCCAATCCCATTGTTCGCTGTATACATAAGGAATTGTAATTGTCAGCGCCGATCACAACAAACTATGTTGCTAGGCAACCACATCTAGACCGCAACATTGGTAGCCCCCATAGCTAGCTAGGCCCTATATTCCATCCTAACCGTACTGGTGTAGACGGTACAAACACGAGGGATTAATGCCGTAACAGAAACAATTATATTGAGATTTATGTTTCTGAGTAAACTGAGATGATAAAAGTGAGGGCGCGCTTGCGCCTATCTTATCAACTGTGATTTTTGACCAGTATGCAATCAATCTTCATGGATCGTAAGTTATGATCTCTGCAGATGTAGATCTATGTACATCCAGATATATAAGCCAGGAATGTAAAGCTAAATACATTTGTGTCGGTTATAGATCTGAGAAGCCCATAACCTGCATTTGAGACATCGTGTGAGTGTGAGTGAGTGTTTATTGTCCTAATGAGTCTACAACTGTGTAAGGACATGTAAGTACTTGTTGCGAAACCAATCTAGACACTCCCCGTGCTTGTGGTTTCAGTATGTGTCCATCAAGATTTTCGTGTGTCGCCTATCCACTACTAGTTACACCATCATCTTTTGTCACGTCTGATATTCGAGACTGAGACGAGAATACGCGTAACTGATATCAGATCTGTAGTTTGTTCCGTTGTATCCCGCAATGAGGCACTATACTCTAGCCCATGTCATTGCCAGATATTAGTGTATATAAACAGTCTCATATCCTTTAGTAAAATTTAATAGTTTCGATCAAGCCTTTACTATAAACATGATTCACATCTATGGATACCCTTTGATGTTTATACTTCGTTATTTCTCCGTGATCACCTCAAAGAGTTCTGCATATTCTCAGTTTATTTTCAACAGTACTTTCTGCCCACAAGCCTGGAGTATCTATGCCTCGGGTAGTTTACTCTCTCCCATGCCATCTTCACGACTTCTTTCAAGCAGTAATACCAACATAGGTCTTCATTCGAGTACTCACTAAGAGAAGCTGTTAATCCGTCGTTATCTCCCCTCTCCAGCCAACAAAACGATGGCCATTTGCGGGTGTGCAGCTGCAGGGAAAAGTCTCAAAAACCACTGGGTGTGGGGCTCTCCTATGACGAAGAGGCCGGCCAGCCGGGTGCAGCAGACCTGTGTATACCTAAGAGTGTCTCTCAACCTTTCTAGCCTCCTCCTTACTCCTTCCCTGATTCATGCTGCAGGACAAATCGAAGGTCGTGAAAGGATGTCAGAAAAGTCTTCGTCGAGAGTGACTGTCGTGAAGGAGCCTAACCTAGCATCCAAAAGTCGTTACGGACGTGGGGTTTTCGAGTAACTCATGTAATTCAGACGCCGCCATGACTTGTATATTCGGAAGTTAAGATTAGTAGGGACGATATTATAGACGAGTCGAAATCTGCTTTTCTTGAAGGCGGGAGGATCTTTTACTTTGCTTTCGTGGGCTTTTTGTTCGCCCGCTGGTAGGTAGCACATGTTGTGATATAAAGAGGGATTCTCTGACTACCGTTTTAGCGTTTGGTACCGTATTGTCTTTTCTCATTCCCAGCATCATTATCGCTGTCTTGTTCGACTCATGAATTACTAGAAGCGTGTCTTTGACGGAGGGGCAGATAACCCAGCTCAAAGTTGAAAAGGTGTTACTCAATCTCGACTCTGCAGGCTCTATAATGAGAGCTTGAGGTTCGTAGGGGCACCACTAATAGGCGTTGAGTTTCGTCCCCCTTTGAGACAATGTCATCCGCTGTAATTCTAGTATGAAATAAACGCCATTGCCCATTGAACTTTCAGTGAGGTATGTATTGATGACAATGATATAGGATTGGGAATTTGATAGTCTAAATAGCTAGACTTACAAATAAGTTATTATTGGCATTCCAAGATATATCATATTTCAACGTCATATTCGCGTGTAGATGAACCTAGCAGTGATACGTTAGAACGAGCTAGGCTGCAGCACTTTTAGGTTATGCTGAGACTATAGAAATATTACACATTTGTTTAACCAGATACTTTATCGAATCTACTTCCAGCCATAATGTTCTATCCTTTTAAAGGAATCTGTTGGAAATTCAGACTCTGTGTGTCTAAAGTTTCCCTATGATTGGAACAACTAAGATTCTCATACATGACTCACGATTTGAGTTACGACCAAGATGATTGATATCTCCTTCATCGAGCATGCTTGATGCGTGAGACTCGACTAGTGCATGGTATGGTCTGATACACGTGAGATAGACTTTCATCCACCGACCCTTACCCCATACTCATGTTATATACCGTCGTGCGATTCATTGTCATTGTCAGAGTATGAAATGAGTGGTGGATGGTATGTAATTTGGATTTGGTCTACTAAGAATACATGTATGTAAGCTGTCTAGGAATCACCAAGACAGGAAATTAATTCAATTCATTCAGTTCATTTTATCAAACTCATCTATTTCCACAGTTAATCGCATATTCTCCCGATTCATATCGATTTCATTATATTCTTAAATCGCGCCTATATTCTTTGAGCCGCCTTACTCATCGAACCCATACCGAAATTCCAACAGAATCATAATCCAACGAACATGATTCTGCAGAACTTCAATTTTGGCATTACTGATCTTAGTTAAATTAGGATAAAGTTGAAAGTATTAGTGAAAATTGAACAGACGCAGGAGATTGTAGAAGGGATTGATGACCCAATTTTTAGGCATCTTTCACAAGCAACTATCCTGTCTCAGTCAGGAGATGTTGAGCGTCTGAAGACAAATTTTCTAACAGAATATACTATACGATTTAATTCAAAGTCGTTAATAATAATTATTGATTCTGTCGGAGCGTTTGCTCCGGTAGGCCTGAGGTACTATCTCTGCCTTAAGAAGATAAGCGGATACAGATGATATTAATGCTAAGGCGGCGTCAGCAGTTTCTAGAGACATCTTAATCAACTACCGGTTCTGCAGTAACAACCCCATCCTAATTACCTGTGATATCACAGAGATTAAACCTGTAATACCAGTTATCTCTCATATGTTTGAAGATAATAACTGTATTTTTTCCGCAAATCGCATTTCTTCAAACTGCCAATACATCATAAGTTAGGTGTTAAATTTGATTTAGTAGAAGATTTTTATTTTAAACTCCATTTTGTCCGATAAAATAAGCCTAGCCGAAATAGTTAAAAATTACGGTTAATATGCGAGTCCACTACAAATAGTTAGATTGGATAATAAGAATGACCAACAACTGCTACTGACACTTGATGAATAGCGGTGGGGCCATCTTCATTGAATTCTGCTCGCGTAAGGAATGCCTTGGATTGACCCTGGTCAGTGACGAAGAAGACCTTGGCCGCTATCTGAGAGCCTAGAAAGATTGCTTCTTCATATTGTTTCCATTCGGGAAAGTAAGTTGGCGGGCTGACCACCTTTATACTGGTTGGAGATTGTGATAGCGACGAAGATGAATGGTAAAGATTGGTGGGTATACTTGAGTTAAATGCTATGTTTGAGCCAATTGTGGCAGCAAGAAGGGGGTTGGCAGCACTTGTAGGCGCAGCTGCGTGCGAGGATGATAAAAACGTTGAGCTAGGTGTCATTGACCCATTTCCGCTTGGTGTGCCAAGGTTTGAAGGTATGTCGCTTGCGAAAGTCGATGCTGTGCTCGACGATACGAGAAATCGATTACTCAATGTCATGAGTAAGGCTTCCTTAAAGCCACGAACCTTCGAACCATTTCCACAAATGATAAGAGAATCCCAGACATACTGCCGTCTTGAGATATCGTCTACAGATAAAATTACTCGATGGATAGTGTCTGCAATAGCATCCATGTAGCTATTTTCTGCTGCCTGAAATCGCTCAGTACCAATCTCAATTTCTCTTCGAGCACGATCAACGTTCTCATCCTCGCGGGTTTTCTTTCGTTCCTCTTTTCTAGCTGCCTTTTGCTCTCGTCTGGAAGCATCATCTTCCACAGCTGCTGGATTTTCCGTAACGATCGATTCGTTAATTGATTTTTCCGGTTGTGCCTCTTCAACCACTGCTAAAGTTGATGCCTGGGGTTCGGGCGTTTTTTGAGACTTTAAATTAGATGTAGATTTATTATCTTCATAATGAAATATCGCACGTGGCTTTTTGGAGTTTGGAAGCTTTGTAGACTTGTTGGCCATCGCTGCAACCTCTGCTTTCTCTGCATCTCTGGTCGCTTTTCTAGCCGCAGCACGCTCTGCCTTTTCCTTTTCTTTTTTTGCGAGAAAATCTTGTGTCTTGCCGCTAGTTACGATACTCGCAATGTCCAAAATACCGTCGTCCTCGACAGGCTTATCATCCACAAGCGTAAACTCTTTCCCCGGAAGTTCGATAGCTTTTGATGCCGGCTTTACTGAAGTAGTTGCTAAAGAGGTAGCAGCTGACGCCAATATGTTAGCTGGAAGATCTACATTTTCTTCCGCAATAGCAGCTTCTGCTGTTCCTGGCAAAGGGGTTCCTGGGGGAAGAATTTCACAGATTGGGCTTCTCTTTAATTGTTCAGCCATTTCTCTAGTAAAATTTTTTGGCTTGAGAAGCTCCATCAAACGTTGTGTCATTGCATCCCCACCGTGTTGCGTAATGCACCCTCTACCTGTTATTACAAAGTCGGTTATAGCAGTGACATCAGTTTTTTCAAACCCTACGTCGATAATCGCTGCAGTAGCAGCGCCAAATGCGTAAGAAGTGGCTACAGCGCTATCAATTATACAAAGCCCGGGTGTCTTAAACTTTTCAAACATAAACTGGGTTATATCTTCTCGGTTCTTGGCCGTCCAGCACGGTTGAGATACAAGTAGAATTGGCGTATGCAAGGTAGGTGAGAGAGTATTATGGATGTGTTGTAATAGCGCAAAGAATGCAGGTAAGTTCACTATATGACCCTCTGCAAACACCGAGTCATTAGCATATGCTACCTCAATTACACAAGCGTGAGGGCGATAAATTATACTCGTTTTTTCAATAATAAAACAGCAGCTAAAGAGAATTCGAAACTAGAACTTGCAAAAGTTGATTAAAGGCAGTCTGGGTATTACAGATAATTTTACTACCTTTGAGTGGCCATACAGCTTCCTCAGTTGAATCAAATTTCTCTATAGATTCCGTACTCTGGTCTCGTTCCTCTGCTGTGTTAACCATTACCACGTCATCTTCTACGTTTTCTTTTTGCTGTTCTCTAATGAATTGTGGTTCCCATGTCTTTCCGTCTGGCGCTCGAAACATTCGCGTAGGGAATCGATGGCTTGGGGGCGTAAAAGATTCCGGTAAGCCCAACTGCGCCAGCGTAGTCTGTGAGCCTGGCGCGATAATTAGAATGTGTTCATCTTTGAATGGCGGCATCGGTGAATATCGTGACAACTGAGAAACAAGGGCTGACAAGGAATTGTAGACCAGCTGGAATTTATGAAGCCAATTTTGATTGACGTTTAAATAACTGTATGTATCAATTTATTATATTACCCATCTTGGAACCTCATATGGAACGTGCAGTGTTCCCCCAGTCTTTGCCTGTGCACGTGCCTGATTATTTTTTTAATCAGGCAGTTGGATTTACGTTTGATTTCAATAAACCCAATCAGGCTCCCTATGGGTACACGCAGTTGACTATCTGCATTATTTACAAAGGAGGAAATCAATTTGTTGAAAATCCCCTGATCCTTTCTAATAATGTTACTATCAATTTATTTGGTTTACCATCAGGAAGTGCAGTGTACACTGTTCAGCCCGTGTGGATTCCATCCTCTCCCCTTCCAGATCTATTTACTCTATCCTGAGGCGGTAGGATTTAAACATAATTATGATTAGGTGATTTTCTTTTTTACGAAAAGCGGCACCTCGTTCTATGAACTTCATTTCATCGTTTTGATAATTGTTATCATCTTAATAGTCCATTAGTACCTGACTCCCCAAAATTTCTATCTTGCGCTACGGCATGGCAGGTTTGGAAGCCAGTAGGGTGGATTTTGCGGCTGCAAATTTTTCACGGCACCACCTAAATCACCAATGGGTAGTGGAATAGCCGCAACTACGGCTATAGAGTCTCTTGCGATCCCTACAGGCGTTAACATGGAAAAATTGAAGTTAAAAGGGCTTTTCCTAAACAAAGTTCGCGACAGACTGGTGATTTCAGGTACCAACCCAACTGCGGCACCGATGGCGGGGATAAAAGGGCCCATTGATGTCCTCAAGTCGTATGCATCGTCAATAAATTCGACAATGAAAGCGACACCAATGGAAGAAATGATGCTGGCCTTAGAAAAGGCAATAAAGAAGAGCCTCGATGGGCCAGTGCGCAAGATTGCTCCTCAGTTGACACAAGAAATGTGAGGTCGACCCAATTACGCCTCAGTCGTCGCACCTCCAGCGACTAAAGCGGCAGTAAAAATAAGAATTTAAGGTGCGGATAAGATACAGCCGGCAGAGCTGCTTAACAAAGCAAAAATACATATCAAGGGGGCATACGCCGTAAGGTAGTTGTGGAGTAACGACACCGAGGTATTCGTGCAGTCGATCTCCCAGCGAGATGCTGCCTTGAATATGGCACAGCCAAATGAGTTCTGTGTCGTAAAGCAGAATTATCCTGTTAAAATTTTGGGATTTTTTTTGGAGACAATGATATAATGGGGAAAAAACGCCGGCAATCTCAGCATGATTTACCAAATCAATCCGGAGACAAAAGTTCGTATTCCCGGCATCCAAATTAACAGACCAAGGTGGCTTTACGAAGGAAAGGAGCACCAATGGATGAAGAAAAATGGCCATATTCGAGGGTCAGTGATCGCTAGCCTGCCGACAGAGGCTCTTCAAAGCAAGGTGATACGAAACGGCATTGTGCTCAACTCAATGCTGTACATGGCCCAGCTCTGGTCACTCCGGGCACAATTCAAGCAGTGCTTTAACTGCAGCCAATGGGAGTATACTCAAGCCTCATGCAATAAGGCGAAAAAATATGGTGATTGTGCGGGCACTCACCAGACCAGAGACCACCCGAGGAAGTCGGTGCTTCGCTGCAATTGCGACAAAGCCCATAAATCGTGGCAGAAGGGGACGTGTCCTAACTTCGCATCATACATGGCAAGTGTCCAGATGACACGTTATGGACGTTTGGAGATAACGGCAGACCTAAGAAGAGAGGATAACTTACCAGCGGCAACGAAAGTAATAACAGCGGCAAAACTAACAGACGACCAAGGATTTACAAAAGTGTCCAACCAGAGTGCAGAGATCGGCAAGAGAGGGCCAGGGAGTCCGTGAAAAAACCCTTGGCCACAGGTCCACCACCACAACTATTTGCGCCATCAGACTGAAACTCAAGACCACAGTTATTACTTTTCGGCACGCGAGGGCAGGGAAAGGATGGCGAGGTCACGTACAATTTTAGCTAGTCCTGTCTAAAACCAATGGCATATTACACGTCTTGAAGGTTAACGAAGGGCTACAGAAATATATTAAAAAAATTAATAGGGGGAGGGGGGCTTATTGTAATAGTTTCCCCCTCATGTAAATATATAGATAGGTTCACAGTCGCCTGCATGGGCCCATAGGGCGCCAAATCGGGTTAAATGAACTCAAACTCAGCTTCAAAAAATTATGATTAGGTTTAATTTGATTTCATGTCGTATCAGGCTTACCCCCTACACCCAATGGGCGTGATACTGGTCTTCGCTTACTGGGGACACACTACAACCTAAACGCATAGTTTGCTTGTCAAATCCATACGCAAAACACAAATAATGAATTAACTCCAAGAAAAATAAGCGCCCTGCGCACTTCCTCCTTCCTCACAACCCTTGTCCTGAAAAAATTATTGCAGCTTGTATCACCATACAACACTGAAACACGCCCACATGAACAACAACAATATGGGCCTCAAGTTGACACTCAAGATGAACAGTTATTGAACACTATAAACCAGCCACCGCATGACCGTAGGAGATGGATTGAAGAACGGGGACTGGCTCATGCATCAAACCGAGTGCAAGGCTCACCTGAGATACTCCGGCTTTCCAATATGCTCATAAATATCATGAGGGTCTACAGCTCAGATGAAAAGAAACACAGCAGAAAAGAATATAACTTCTTTGATATCAAACTACAAATATTTTATGACTACTGTATGAAGATTGGATTACCAAGAGAACAATATCAGAATGTATTTTCTGTCATGCTTAAAGGTCGTGCTATTGAATTTTACTTCAACGAAACAGCAGGTAAAGGTTGGAATTTCGATCAAATTCTGAGAACAACAAAAGATCATTGCGAAACGGAAGAAAACAGACAGAAGTATCTATCCGAATGGAAAGTAGCACTCCTTCGGGCCACCATTGCTGCGAACCGAATAAGTCTAGGCTAGAGTGTTTGCAGCTGTTGTTATATCACCTCCAGAAAGTTCAAAAAGGACTACCAAAAGAGTATCAAACAAACCACAGCCTTCGAGATTAAACTCTGAATGCATGTAGAGAAGTGGAGGAATGTAGTCTTGCATCATACAAACCAGCTTCTACCTACGAAGGATTATGTGCAGAACTAAGATCAGCTGTCGCTACAGCAATTCGTGCCCGAGAAATGTAGACATTCCACACTGGATCTCAACAAAAAGAGCTTACGCATAAATTTGATCAGAATTGGACTGACCATACATACAATGGGAGAGGTAGAGGATATGGTCGTTGTAACGGCTGGTATTCCGATCGGTCCCTGTAGCATATGTTGGTTAACTTAGGCCTGATTCGAGTGGTGTTATTAATCAATACCAATTCGCTAATGTGCGACGCCACCCAATACAATACTATTGCGTCGGCATTTGCATGGTATTCACATAGCATCGGACCCGGCAGTGCGGCACGGCACTGCACCACATTTTGATAGGCTCACACTGACTGGGAATATACGAGACCGAGCACAATCCTTCCGGACCATAACGCGATAGCGCTGTATTACAAGCATAGTCAGAACAATATGGGAGTCCCATAGCATTGGATAAGGAGAGGGATTAGCCTCGGTGGCGAGGAGGCTTTCACGTATATCAATAAATAGATAGATGTAGTGGAAGTTCTCTCCTTAGAATTATTATTTACTATCATCGACCACATAGTTGCTACAGCACCTGTCCCTTCAAACCGTGACAGTCGTGGAGGCAACATAAGAAATAGTTCTAGTGGAGGCAACCTCCGTAACAGTTTCCAGAAAAATGACTTTCGCCAGAAAATATCTCAAGGCTTAAACCAAGGAAGTTGCTCTATTCAAGGTAAAACTCGCCAAGGGAAATGTTACGTATGTAATCAGGTTGACTGTTGGTTAAATAAGAATACAATTCAAGAACGCCAGAAGGCTTATGAAAATTTCCGCCAGCAAGCTCAGTATACAACCGAACGAGAAATTACCCCGCAATATTTCCAGTACTTTCTTGCTCAGTTTGAAGGTGTAGAAGGTATATTGTTACGGGATAACCGTGTGGTGGCTTAGGTAGACACCTAAGCAAGATCGAAGGTGGTTATATCATCTCTAAATCATGGAAATGACGTGTAAGGAGACATCTGATATGACGTGCGAGTTAGAATGAGGTAATATATGAGTGAGAATGAAGTGACGTCTGGTTAAAGGACTATCTAATATTGAAGGAAGGGACGAGTTAGAAAGGATTATAAGTAACCTTATTTGATAGCAATAGTTTCCTTTCTTCTTTAATTAGTTCAATACATCGAATTTCATCACAGCCAGCTTGGTTCTATCACATATACCAGATGATGAAGAAAATACCAAACAGCTCGAGGTAGACTAGTTGCCTATGGAAATTAAAATTGAACATGAATAGTTGTGGCTACATGGAGGATACTTCACGCAAGTGGAAGAAGTTAATGGAATTCAAATAGTAGCCATGCTGAATGATCAATCTATAATATATGCTGTTACAAAAGAGGACATTTGTAATAGCTCAGCAGACAGCATCATTAGTTCACTTGACCCTAATGCAATGTCAATATTTACATTCAATGAAATATACTCATCGATCACATTCCAAGGCATTATGCCTGATGGCGGGGCAGCTGGTGTTTCAACAGCTAGAAAATCGCAATTTCTAGCTCTACAGAAGCTTGACCCGAACGTCAAGTTAGATACTTCAACGGTAGGCGCTCTTAAAAACTGCTTTGGTAAAGGAGACGCCCTCTCTGAGGTGTCACAGTTCGAGTGTAGAAAGCAGAAGGGCATTTGTATGATTGAAAGGTAAAGCTATAATTCATCTATGGAGAAGCAAACTATTAGTGTTCTAGGGGGTATCTGGAATGATAGAAGTGAACGTTGACCGTCAAGTCAATACTGTACGAATCGTAAGATATTGGGGATTTAAGGATCAGAGATAAAAGGTTAGGATCAGTGAGGTTTTGGTTTTACTGAACTTATATTTCGGTAATTTAGAGTGTTTTGCATTTTAATCTACATCTAAT